CCAGTCTGACAGACGCTGTCGAAGATTTGAGCAATTATCCAGACCATGCGGCAAGCAAAGGTGAATTCCCGATTTTCAAATGCGGACCCGTTCATCGTTTCTTCGAACAGCAGCGGTGCCTGATGACTTTGATGACTTTGATGATTTTGATAGAGCCTTCACGTCAGGTTAACATCAATGGTATAGTAGGGCGTCATGTGCTCGAGCTGATTTATATAGCAGTGTCCAGGGCTACTACCCTCGCGAGCGATAGTGCTTCATATCAGCTTATCGCATCTTCTGTTGCTAATACTCACGTTCCTGTTTGCATCGTTGTGCAAGTGCAAACAACTGGTATATAAACATCTGCGACTTTAAACATATGTCTTTGCTTGCAACATTTATACATATATTTAGCGTCTTTTCATAAAGTGTCGCTGAATAACAAAATTCAACACGGTTGCCTTCCTTTCACATGCTTCGCATAACGTCGATTCCCAAGGTACGTGGAACCTGCCTAATTTTTTTTTTAAGTGAAAGAAGTATATACACGCAGACACATGATTCTTCGCGCATGCGTAACAGAGCAGAGAGCAACAAAAACACTCGTATTGGGACTATCAGAAGATATCACAAGCTTTACGCGTCTGTATACGCGTACTCCTTATAGTCAATCACAATCGTAGCTTAACTACACAGTCATGTCTCTTCTTCCTGACGTGTCAGGATTCAACTATCTCGCGAGTCAACTGATCCTCATGGCGAAAAATGACTTCAGTTTCATTGAAAAACGGGGTAACATCCGCAGATTTTACAGTGAGCCGCGAGATTCTTGGTGTTCTCTAAGCCTATTGCTCACGCATCTTCCAAATTCTCGCATCTACTCGTAGATGCGTGGCGTTGTAAGGCTAATGTTAGTGTTCTTTTAGACTAAAGTTAGTGTTTGTTTTTTGTATCGAACTCGAGGATCCTGCCACACGGTTCTTGGCCCATCCACCTTTGTGGGTGAGTGCCATCAGCAAGACATCATCATCATCATCATTTGAAGCTACACGTCGAACACCGGGCCTTCACCAAAGTTATCGGCTATATCATACGCAGAACAATGAGGTTACATAAAAGAAAAAAAAAACTTTGTATACTATATATGCAGAAGGTTCAAGTGATTCTTTGCGCTATGTATCTTGCTCTTTCTCGGTTGCAAGGGGAAAGAACTAGCAAAAACAAGTGGCGTCTACATAGTGGAGATGGCGCCTTGAGGGGACATAAAAAAAAAATGAGGAAGCTTGCAGTAAGTGGCGCAAGGCTTGAAACAGCAAGACTGCACGATTCTTAAGACTAATATGGTTGCTTCCATAGGTCATTGCTGCAAGTGCTTTAGCCAGGTGGTATACTAGCGTCTCTCCAATTTAGTGAACCAGTGGATTGTAGTGGGATGTACCGAATTTTAGTGGTGCATACCCAATTATCATAATTTTTTCGTTGGCAGTCGACAGATTATGGCTGGCTTAAACCGCTTCGCTGCTAAAGAATTAAGCGGCTTTATTGGGTATATAAACCATGCAATGTGCTATTTTCGAGCGACGTATTAACAAGTTACGTACCATTGAACATACGAAACTTTCTTTTGTAGTACCGTGTTTTTCTTTTGACAGTAATCTAAGCATGAAAGTTGCCTCGCGTAACGTAGCGAGCTGGTAAGCACTACAGTGCAGCCTAACGATGAAATTCATTGCCTTTGACTTATGCACGTCGCCTCGTGTGCATGACCTGCACTCCTGGAGATTTCTGGGCCTGCAGTGCGGCTAGTGAGTCGCAGGTCCACTAAGACTCGGCTCTGTGATATAAAATAAGAACAAAGGCTGCCCGTTATGCAGCGATTGGATTGGTCACCGCGATTCCCTATATCACCGCTTCCGCTACCTTTCCCTATTTCCGTGCAACAGCGTTGGAATAAATTGTCAAAATCACGTTTAAGAAATGGTCGTGTGTGAGTAAAAAAGAAAACGAAGCACACATATGGAGTAATTCATTTTATTGACAACATTTTCACCATTGCTAGAAGCTGTTCATCACGGGCAAGAAATACGAGATCACTCTGAAAAGGATGACAAAATTGATTCCTAAAAAAAGTACTCACCAGACCAGCCTCGTGTCTAAGCTCTCCCTCTCATCTGTCCAGCAGGTGGACTCCACGAAATGATCAAGTTTGTTTTCATTTAAACATATATATATATTTTCAATGCCCGCGGCAATAGTATGACTATAATATGAGAGATGATTTCAAGGCACACTCCGACATAGTGTAGTTTTCACCAGCATAAGATTCTTTAAAGACCCTTTCTATCTTTGCAGCTGCCGTGTGTTTGAGTCGAACCCTTAACCACGTGGTCAGTAGCAGACAAATGGGGAGAGTAAAAGAAATACGAAGATCTATATAAACACACGAGCTCATTTGAGACCTTGTACCGGGAGCAGGACGCCCATTTGACTGATGCCTGACCACTGATTGATTGATATGTGAGGTTTAACGTCCCAGACTCCGTAGTGGAGGGCTCCGGAAATTTCGACCACTTGGGGTTCTTTAACGTGCACCCAAATCTGAGCACACGGGCCTACATTTCCACCTCCATCGGAAATGCAGCCACCGCAGCCGGGATCATGCCTGACCACAACAAAGTGCCGTAGTCAGGGGGTGGCGCGCCAAACTCGTGCCGCCCTTTTTTTCAGGAAATTGTTTCGCCATAGCATACAAAATTACTTCATAAACGTGTCCCCTCCCCCCCTCAGCCTGAAAAAAACTTCTGCTTACGCCTCTGCCACTACATGGTATTGTAATCAGACATTCTTGTCGCCTGATATTATCCACTACATGGGGCTTGTTCAAGAGAGCTTCATGGAAGCTATAATGAACATGAAACCCCAGTTAATGGCTGTATTTCTTTCCTGCAAATAAACAATGTTGAATATTGACAGGCTTAAGTCAACTACGATGTCTCGGATTGAGGCCCGAAGCCGCTCTCCGAGCAGCTCGACGCTTTTCCCAAACCGCATCGATGGCGTCGGCAACGTATGACGTCACGTACACGTGACGTCATACGTTCGCGTAAGCGTAAAGTATCGCAAGTCACATTTTGTTCAATCTTGCAGGCTACAAATTTCGCTATGCACTGACTGAGGCTTCTGATGGGCGCGTATCTAGACCACCCCTCCTTCCCCCCCCCCCCCCCTGCAGGTTGAAGCAGAGAGAGAGCTCTGATACGAGGCTGCTTTGGTAACGAGCGGATCAGTAATAATCACAACAACTAAAGCGAAGGGTCATAGCTCTTACACAGCCTTCACTTTAAATGTCACAAACTCCGGTATAGCAAGGTTTGTCGATTTAGTTTGACTAGCTACACACTATGGAAGCGCCTATCCGGGTTATTGATAAAATGCAGATGACTTGAACGACAAACAACATGGTCACGAGTGCATCCCTGTCATGCGCAGGGTAAATTATACCGCTCCGTGTGTACATGCGCCAAATGTTGGGAACTAGGGCTTTGTTCTTGTGTCTACATTTGATGACATTTAAGTACAAACAAGTTATTAACCTTAATGTCTCGAGTATGCTATAAGGTTCCACGACATTAACTTATGTAGTAACAAACTAACACTGAGGTTTGATCGCCTTTATCTTGTCATCGTTGTCAGTATAGTTGTGTGGAGCGTGTGCATACATGACACCAACGATACTGAATAAGAAATGCGCCATTCTCAACTGTTTATTTGGATCTTTAACAACATGATGACATGCCTCGACTAACACGATGCATGCCTGGGCAATGGATGCGCAAATGTGCTACTTACAGATCAGTTCGCTAACTTGATTTCACGTTGCCGAAAATGCTTTTGCGGTGACGTTCAAGATTTTATATGTACGGTTATTTGCCTCGCCAGCATCATGAGCAGCTAAGCAAAAGTAATGAGGTTCACTTCGAAGCAAGGACCTTTCATTTAATACATGAAGGCGCTGACTGAATTTTAAGCATCTAGAAAAAAAATTCTGATGCGTATCATCTTTTTTTATCGACTATATATATAAAACGAAAATTGTCGCTGGAACCAACGTGTCGACAAGTCACCTTGCCCGACCATTAGAACGAGATACATGATCTGTTTTATAGTTCTCATTGACGTTTTGAGAAACATAGGTAACACTTGTACGGAAGTACGAACGTCACATACGTTACAACAATAACGTAGCAAATCACCTAATAGCCCTCAAGAAAAACCTTCAATTGGTTCATACCATCGTGGTATCTTCGTTCTAAACGAGCCTGTGAGAACCCCTGATACTTCCCTGACTAGTGACTTCTCAGATACGTTCTACAAGCTGTCTTGGTTAGGCGTTGCGCAGCTCCATGCTTGATCATGTTCCGTTAGGACCGAGTTTATGTCGCTGTACTAATCATCGAGTCTGTCGATCGTAATATTCACTCATTTTTGCCCATTTATATTTGGCAACGAAGGCCGTACCTGTCGACCAGTGTGGGTGGTGCGCTTAGCACTTCATCTGCAGATAACTACGCCAGCATTTATGTCGATTATGTAACATTTCAACCAGTAGCGTACGCCGTGTGCTTTAAAATGCAGTCAGTCGTTGATTTATCTGGTTTTTCCTCACGCCAGTTCTCCCAGTTTGAAGCGCGTGGCCGATAATGCAAGAAGTTCTTTACGTCACGTGGAATGATAATAGATAAGTCTTAGTATCTATGGCCAGACACAACCCAGACAGCTGTGTTTGCCGTTTCATTGTTATCAAATATACCTGTTACCCCCCCCCCCCCCCCCCCCCCCCGCGCACTCCAAAAATAAAACAGAAAATGAAGTAGTAAAACTCGGGCCTACTGCGCACTAGACTTTCTGTTTCAGCTTTGAAAAACAAAGATATGTCCGCAGAAGCTCAACTCCCATTCGCTCAACAGGTGTCGCTACGCGTACGAACGAAGCAACAACGTACGCGTCGCGCCGACGCTTCACGGACTCAGCGCCTGTGAACTGTGCTTCGGATGCATCGTGTTGTTCGGCGGGGTTTCGGCCGCAGGCGATGGCGAAGTGGCCGAGTCGGCAACGACGTGGCTGTCCACTGCGACCGCCGGTTCGACAGACGAGGACGACGGCTGCGCCGGTTGGGCGTGCGGGTAAATGGCGGCCATTTGCGAGAAGTAGGAGCACGGAAACGGTGCCATCATCGGAGCGAACCTCGTGAACGGGAAGGACGCGAAGCCCACGCTTCCGGGGCTGGAAGCCGCGGCGCCGGCCCACAGAGCCAGAGCTGCTGCCTGGGGCTGAAAAGCCGCCACGGCCGCGGCAGCTGCAGCGGCTGCCGCGGTCGTCGTCTGGTCGCTCAGTGACTGCGTCTGGGACGCGGCAGGCCCGTTGCACTCGGCGTCGGCGGACGATGAGGTCACTTCCGCCTCGAGGCTCGACTCCTGCTCGGACTTTGAGTGGCCTGAAAACGAGGACGGGATCGGAAGAGCAGACGTAAGTGGAGATCCAGCAATCACAAGCTTTGCAGACGTAGATATAGCTTGCATGTGACGTCCATGCATGGTCGCAGCTTCGTAACGTCCTAGTTCACCAACGTGGCGGCCTTCATGGCGTAAACGCAGCGTTATCACATCGCGTTTGACCTGATAACGATGCGGCCAGAATTTTATTGGCCTCTGTGCGTCAATAACAAGAGAACGCACAAGCATGCAACGACAACGTTAACACGCCGTGTCAAAAACCTTGAGTGATGTGGTGCACCAACATGGCGCCCTTAGTGACGTCAGTGCAAGACCCCCGTAAACTAATCGGTAGTTCTCAGCAGTGCCAGCGCACAGCAAAATGAAAGCTAAAAGAACACACATGGTGCTTTGATTTATTTATTAAGCACATCCTTGATCTCTCAACTAAAAAAAAAAAACAGCATTGGTTATGAAGGACCAATTAGCCTGACAATTAACCTTGCCATTGCAGCAGATACGTGCAACACCATCCTTAGGTTTTACGGTTGGTTGCTGTCGGCAGTCATACTCACATGAAGCATTACGTCACACGCAGTTTGGAACAATATTCTCTGGTTCCGTTACGTTGATCTTTTGGATGAAGCCTGCCTATAGGACGTAATCTTGTTGGTTGGGTGCGGTCGAATGTACTGAGGTCGTAGCATGTAACAATCGGCGCAAACTTATTCCAATGGCCTTGCCTATGACTGTGCGTACAGGCATGTATGTGCGACTCGTCATTTATATAGAACCGTTCCCATCCCTATGATGCACTCGTTTGCAGTAAATGTCCGTAATATTTACACTGATGGCCAGTATGGATATAACCGTGCCCGCAAAGCAAGCAGCCAACACGTTCACGGTTGGCTTTAAAGAGTAACCTAGCACGAGGTGTCGTTAACAGTCGAAGAGAAAGTGAGAAAGAGGCGGTAAAAGAACATACAACAAACGCCCGAATGGCACAGAAATGGCTGCTGTGGCACCTGCTTCGACGGGCCACATCATATCCGGGTGCAGAGCTACCGGCAGTCGCTATCAATGGACACAAATCTAAATTCGTTTTCCCTCTATTCAAGAGCCCCTCAACACGTCCCCTATTTGCGACGAGAAGTCCCTGGGGTCGCGATTGATCTTTCCATAGCGTCAGCGGCGTCCGATTTCTATCTGGTGCTCCCCCATCTTGTTTATTATTTTTTTTTTCACCTCGATGGGAGCAACTGAAGAATGTGCTGTATCTGAGTCTGCGACCCAGAGGGAGTCAGGACACAGACGGCTGAACTGGCGGTGTCGAAAAGTGAAGGCCACGGGAACAAAATGCCCTTTGGGAATTATCCCCCCTCCCCCGACTCCCTCGGGCACTTACTCTTAACTGAAATAAAATAAAAAAGAGAGAGGCTTTGGCAGGGGGAAGGGGAGCCTTCGTCGAACTTCTAATGTTGAGGGAGGAGTAACAGCTTGGGTGTGGTGGTGGGTCGGCGGCCACAACGCTGGCTGGGGAGAGATTATAAGCGCGTTTTTGTCGCCCGCTTCCGATCGCCATGAAATGAGTCGTCCGCGAGGCCGCGGAGCGTGACACCTATCACTCCCGCCACAAGGTGGCGACGACAGCCGTAATCGCAGTCCTGCGTGTGTGTCGTGTGCGCTCAAGGGCCGCGTTGTATGGTGGCGCGTGGCACCTCTCGCGGGTGAGGGACGAACTAATTGAATTCTCGTTTGCCACTGTCGCCCAGATGGGGAGGGTCGCGGGCCTCTCGGAAACTTGACGAGCGTTCATACAGTGAACTGTAGCGGTTGCGTGGAAGCATAGGTGCTGGTAAGACTGCCATAAAACGCTTATGACGGCGCCATCTTTGCGCTCTTCGTACCTGAAGGTAGGCATATCCCGTTGCAGAACGTTATAGGTACTTTTTTTTATGTGTGTGGACGCAGTTTGGTGGTCCGAAGGGCTGAAGGAACTGACCACAGGTGATTATGGGCTTACTCGCTTCGTTAAACACTGGAGATGGGCAGCGCTGTTTTACGACCTGCTTGCGACGTACTCCCCCCTCTGCATTTGATAATGGTTATGGCTAGCGGCTGGGAAGTTGGGTTGTTAGAACTGCGGCCAGACACCAGCTGGTGGTCACTATTCTACGTTTCAGGACCTCAGTTTGGTACTTTACGGGAGTATTATACATAATTCACCCTGTACAACTTCAGCCTTCATTGCTTTCGCGGTCATCATGGCTCTTGTTACGTACAAATGATAAGACTCAAGTTTTGGGCCATACTCTTAATAATATACACGCACTCGGGGAATCAAGCATAGTCGCCGCCCGTCCGTTAAGGATGGTAGAAAATATTACGTCTCGGCTCCTTTATTGTTCATGTTATTTTATTGAATTAATGACACGCATGTGCCTAATATGTGGGAAGTAGAGATGCTCTATGTGTTGCTGTTTTCCTTTCCTGTTTTTCCCCCCTGCTGCAACATTTATCTGAGGGTACGATACTATAGAGCGCCGAAGGAAAAGTGTGGGTGTGTCCTAAAGATGATATTGCGGCGACAGACCTATTGGTTGAATGCTTTCCGGACATCATGTCTGTATTTTGCATTGTTGTAAATTAACAAAAAAAATTAAATGTAGCTTCGGCGCAAAGGCGAAGCAATAAACGCAGTAGCAACAAATTGGAAGGTCACGCGCAGAATGGCAAGCAGATCGAAACGTGTCCCGCGTTTTTCACGCACGAATGACGCACGAAACGGACTCACAGGTACAGATGAACGCGAATTAACGTCTCAGTTTTTAATTCGCTGTCTGAAAAGCGCGCCCCTTTTCGCAAACGGAGGCTGTGCAACGAATGCAGTGACCTTTGTGCACCCCGCAGCTCCAGTCCCGCCAACAGTGGTAAGTGGTAGATATATAAATAGCTTGCCGTTTGAACGTTTAAGGAGGTACCCCTCGGTGGCTCAGTGGTTAATGCCTCGCATTCTCGACGCGAAGGTCCCACGTTCGATTACGTGCGCCGAAGTCTTTATTTCTGGATTTTTTCTTTCTTGCGTTTTCATATATACAGAAACGTATGCATATACGGTGCATGACATCGACGCCGGCGGTGAAATCCAGCCGGGAGTGTCCATATAATTGCAATCGCAATAAAACAAAACTCGAAGTTGAGTAAACCATATGACATATTTTATGTTCTTAGAGGCTACTAAAGGAAGCATATCTAATGTAAACCTTAACTTGAATATTAGCTAGTTTTCCGGGAATGAGCTTGTAATAATGTGCGAGCTAGTTCTTATAGGTCAGTTTTAAGACTATTCACTTTTATGACATATTGCATACATCGCATGTGGCATTTAATTTGTACCTGCTGAAAGAATACATATATATTGACTACAGATACTTTATAATTCACAACAGCTGCGTATTATAACTAGCAGAAGCAGAGACAAGAACCGCTGATTCAAACGTGCCCCTCAATAAATTATTCGTTGCCATTCATTTTTCAAAAACGGTAGATTTCCTTTCGTGCGGGAGTATGCCAACGGGTAACAAGGTACATGACTGCGATGTCTACAGCAACACGACCAGAGATCGATAAGCAAGGCGTAACTTGAAAAGTTTCAAGGGCTTCCTTTCTAACGTCGTAACATGCTCGGTCGTTTCCCCTTTGCCAGTGAAAAAAAAAATCGAGCTTGCGAGCACACATTGCGTTTCCTGAGCTTATACAACGCCACAACAAGCACATTAGAACACTTCTATGCGACTCCATGTCTAAGGCCCATTAACCGGTGGTTTTGCATGAGTATCTGTAAAAAGAAGCCTATATCAATTGCACGGTAGGGACATGAACTTCGCTTATCGTCCATAACCTAGCAGTAGGACAAAGAACGCACTGCCTGTTGTCGGTTTACAAGGGGCGTTGTTAGAAAAAAGTAGCGCTTAGTCTACATTCACACGATTTTCTTGCTGCTTGCCTTTGTTTTCATACCTTTTTTGGGAACACTATACATGCCTTATGTAGGCCAATTTTAAGGAAGTGCAATATTAAACTTTTTTTTTCTGTATCGCTTGAAAATTCACAAGCACTTAATGCGTAAAGCCCGGGCGCAACTTTTTATACTGGTGTAAGAAACGTGCAATTGCAAGAAGTCAAGTCGTAAAGTATGACGCAACAAGATAAACTGCCGGTTTAAAACCACGTAGAAATATTATTACACTCGAGTAAAAAGGGTCTTCTGTCTTACACTTAAGTAATAAAGTTTTACAAGAGAGTAGAAATTGGGTGTCCATAAAGGTAAGTGCGGTACTGAATTGGCGAGTACGGGACAGAGAGAACACATCAATTCAGTGCCTCGTCAATCCAGTACCGCGCTTACCTTTATGAACATGCCATACACTACTGCCAACAAGCCACCCTTTCTATATATTGGGGTTCAGGGTTCGGGCTCTGTGGCAACCGTCTGAGGTGTGAGCGAATAGAGCGTCCACTTTCAATGCGCGTGGTTCCGTGTTCGATGCATGGTGCCGCAGGGTTTCGTCGATTTGAATCACGCAGATAAAGGCGCCCCCGCCTGTCGCACGGTAGTGTTGTTGCTAGGGCGTAGTCAGAAGTTTTCTTTCGGGAAAAAGGGGTGGGTTGGGGTGGCGGGCACATTCTTGATTTTAGGAAGGGCACCCCCTTAAAATGGTCATTTTTTTGCTTTGTATGCCATGGCGGAAAATATATTAGGAGGGGGGGGGGGGGGTTCGGCACGGGTCCGCTGTCCACCACCTGGCTACGCCCTTGGTTGTTGCTTCTCTCTATACATAAAGTGGCCTTTCCCTTTCGGTCTTCTGAATGTCACTTGCATTTCCTCTTTCCTACCCATGGAACATGACCGTGTTTCCTTATTGAGTCCAGAAATTAGCTTTTATTTTAACTTAACGCTATTCAATTCCGAGGGACGCCACTGATTGGGGGAGCGGTAGGTGTTCATGATTACTGTAGACCTCTTCAGTCTTTACACTACTAGCGGCTTCACTAACGTGCACAGCGATCTAAACCAACGGGCGCTTTTGTATTCAGCTTCCCTTGGACTGATGCCACCGGTTTCGACAGACGAGTACTTGACCTCGTACCAGACGCCATAGCTAGTGAGTCACATGGATGAACGAGTCAACTACAACAAATGATGTCTCATCTTACGAACCCCTGGAATGTTGTGGCGACGTTCCGTTGGCGCCCGCGTCATCAGAACTCCAAGCCGCCGCTGCTCGCCTGTAAGATGCCCTGGACCTTGCGGATGGGACGTCACCGGGTTTCTTGAGTATCTCCTCGATCGAGTAAGACGTTACGCCCTTGCTGCCTCCAGTGGTACGCCGTCTTGAGGGCACCTGCTCGTCTGACGAGTCTTGGTCCTCAAGGTCATCTTCCGAGTCGTGCTCGTTCGAGTCACTGCACCCGCAAAAAAAAAAAAAAAAGCGAGGAGCGAACCGGAGGCTGAAGGTCGCGTCACCTCTCGCAAAGAAACAAATGTTTTTCACGTGTGTCGTTCGGGACGACAATGATACGCTTGCTATGTTTTGATTCTTAGCTTGTAGACACTGTTCTTGGATTCGGCTAGAAGCTGATGACTGAATCATCATTGATTATTTAATGTACGTGGTTATCAGATCGCTTAGCCATGCAGAAGGAGGGGTTGCGTAAAGATATGATTAGTGCAAAATGTATCGATTGTATTATTTTGCTTCAGACATATGAAAAGTTTTTCTCGTACTTCCCATTTAGTAGCACGTAATAATAATAATAATAATAATAATAATAATAATAATAATAATAATAATAATAATAATAATAATAATAATAATAATAATAATAATAATAATAATAATAATAATAATAATAATAATAATAATAATAATAATATTATTATTATTATTATTATTATTATTATTATTATTATTATTATTATTATTATTATTATTATTATTATTATTATTATTATTATTATTATTATTATTATTATTATTATTATTATTATTATTATTATTATTATTATTATTATTATTATTATTATTATTATTGCTATTGCAATAGAGACAACGAGAAAAAAAGAGGGATAAACAAGCAGATCAGAGTTGCCCTGTAAAGGGTACTCTGCCGTCTAAATACAGTGCGTTTCGCAGAGCTAACTTGCCGTTATGCAGGTGGCATTGAGCTACGCAGTTTCAACGTACACAAAAACAATCTCTTACTCTTTTTCCTCAAATTATTTCCGTGTATTTTTGGAAATTCGAAAAGCTACTCCTCATTGCATCGTTCATTTCTTTCAGATCAGCGTGTTTTACGTCAACTCGATGCATTTAATCAGTAGTAGTTATGTTGGCCCCCTGTTGCTCACTTCCGAAAACTGGCACTTATTAGTCATCAACACAGGCGCTTGCCCTTTCAGTGTTATGTATAGCTTTTATTGAAATTATTATCTGTTTTGACTGCCTAATAAAGAAAGACCATATTGTGAAAGTTTGTGGAGCCCTCCACTGTATGACGTCCCTCAATCATATCGTGGGTTTGGGACGCAAAACTCCAGTTATTACTATTATTCTTTGCTGACCAGTCTGAAGTTTGACTTTTGCTTCAATTAACTTTCAACCTCGAAGTTTTTCAATGGCTTATGTGGTGAGGCAAACTCTGCCGCCTATAGTACACCATTGTTATGATCTACATGCTCTGACTTGCTATGTGCGTTAGCTTGAGCCTTTCTCTGCGACGTTGTACTGGGCTTTCGCTTCAATAAGCTCTTGCATACGCACGCTGTGCTTCCTTGGGAATTACACGAGCGTAACCGAATGGATATTGTTTGTTGATCACATCACCAATGTGCGCTTTATCAAGTAGCGGCTAAACCCTGGTACCTACGGCCTGCTCCGTTGCTTCTTTTGGAAGAGCATTCCTCCGGAGTTGTGCGACGTCGAAGGCCTCGTCACGGTGGCACACGAAGAGGTGGCAAACATGGCGGATGAGGTGGAAGGCATAGTCGCCATCTGGCCGAGACCGTTCTGCTGCAGCGGGTGCTGCTGTTGATGTTGTGCCTGCCGTGTCTGAGGATGCTGCTGTGGCGGTTGCTGTGGCAACGCGGGCAAGCACGTGGTCACGTGCTGCAGGGCCAAGTAGGGGCTAGGGTAGTATGGCCCCATGGCCAGGGGCAGTGGCTCAGCGAGGCCTCCCGTCACGTCCACTGTTCAGTAAACATGCACAAATAAAAAAAAAGAGAAAAGCGAGGAAGAGTGAGATTCGACGATATACGAGTCGATTTTGAATTATTGGTCAGACGGATACGCCATTAGTACAGCGATGCTCCGTTCATTGTAAAAAAGTAATAATAAAATATGACTTGACAATTCATTCATTAACTAATTTGTGGGTTATCTTATTATTATGGGGGTACATTGATGATTGTGGGTAGCCTGATTGCGATTCGCCCCTTTAACATATGACGAACTTTCGATCTGCCGTACTAAGAAATGCCATACCAGTTGGTGAGGAGAGCGCCGTACACTCAGCGGCGCATCGCAGAACTCTGGAAGCCGACGCCGGTGGAGACCCGAGGCCGTGCTCTGCGCCCATGGGGTGGTCGGGCTGCGGCTGGTGTTGCTGCTGGGGCTGCTGAGGTGGTTGGTGGGGCATCAGCTGCCGCATGTCCCAACCAGCGGGGCCGGTGTCGTTCTTGTAGCGCAGCATACGACGCATCACCTGCGGATTGGATACCTGCAACGGGGGCGCACGGAATAAGCGTGCAAATGCAGGTGCCGTGTGAGAGACTGGCGCCGACGATGGAGATAGAGGCCGATCGTAGTGTTAAGGTCGGCCTTAGTTTGAGCACGAAAGCCAGAACGACGGCATGACTATCGACTCCGCTTTACTGAAGCCGAACTGTCTCTCGGGAATACTTCAGTGGCTCGTGAAACGCACTGAAATTGCCACAGTCATTCGTCCTCCTTAGTAGTACACTGGTTACGGTGCTCCAATGTTGACTCGAAAGTCGCGGGTTTGAATCCGGGACACTGCGATCGAATTTCCATGAAGACACAATCCTAGATACTCGCGTGCATCGCGATGTCAATGCAAGTCAAAGAACACCAGGTGGTCGAAATTTTTGGAGGCCTCCACTACGGCGTGCCTCATAATTATACAGTGATTTTGGCACGTGAAACTTTGGATAATAATAATAATAATATAATAATAATAATAATAATAATAATAATAATAATAATAATAATAATAATAATAATAATAATAATAATAATAATAATAATAATAATAATAATAATAATAATAATATAATAATAATAATAATAATAATAATAATATAATAATAATAATAATAATAATAATAATAATAATAATAATAATAATAATAATAATAATAATAATAATAATAATAATAATAATTCATGTTGTTGTTGTTGTTCCAGGTGACTGTACCAGCACACTGACGTTCTGTTTGCTGTGGAAAGAGAAGAGTTCGTTTTTTACAACACTGGCAAAAAGACCAGTCATTCTGAGTGATGCTGGGTGGTTCCGTTGCCTTGCGCGTGACCCGTAAAGCTTCCTTGGGGAGACAGTCTGGTTGTAGCAAAGCTCAGTTGTTGGTCAGCCGTCCTTTCGTGCTTTGGCGTGTTTTATTTGCGAAATACACGATAGCCGGTGTTTATAAATATATACGAACGTTACTTAAAGGTATTTGAAGGCGAGATCGTATAGGTGAGAACACTTTTAAATAAACAGTGCTGCTTTGCTTTGCACACCACGCACAAGGAAACAACACAGGAAGGAGGTGCGCGACGACAGCGCTCGTTCTTGTGTGTTGTTCCTCGTTCGCGTGTTTATTAACGCTTGTTTTTGCAGATGTCAACGAATGTTCGTTCACGTGTGTCGCGATCTCACCTTGGGCTTGCTCCCACCGATGGAGCCCGGCTTGATGGAGCCGGTCTCGTAGAAGCGCGTCAGTATCTTGGACACGCAGCCGTGCGACACGAGCAGCTGCCGCGAGATGTCGCATGGCCTCACGCCCATCAGCGCCAGTTCGACGATGCGGCGCCGGATGTAGTCCGGCAGCGGCCGCCCGTTCACGAAGACGCCGCCCAGCTGGTTGATGCCCGCCTGGCCTGCAGTACAGCGCGAGTACGCAGGCAGGTCAGAGGGTGGTCTTCGAAATCGCCATAGAGGAACATACAATGTAAAGACTGGCCACTGGAGCCTTTTCACGGCCTAGCAAGGAAGGGTCTGACCATCCGCTAGATGGCGTACCCGTCCTCGCTTTTACTCTTTTGTGTTAAGACATGTAATAGCCTCCTCAGGAGAACAACGAATACCCAAGTTTGACATCAATTTTCTGCAAAGAAGAAATTTTTAATAATTTGTGCGATTTTCCATGTCTGCGCACATCATACATGTGCCGCTGAGCCATTTAATGCCTTACAACAAAAAAAAAAACTGTAAATATTACTAGAAAGTGTTGTCTTTCTGCATTTGTTTTGCACAAAGAGGCACATTCATGTGGTTTAGATGTACTGTAGATGTATTCTCTTTGTGGACGCATGGGTGTGTAGCGTAGTGGTAAAGACATTCGCTTTCGGAGCGTGAGGGCACAGGTTCAAATTCCAGCGTCCGAAAGAAAAAAAAAGTTTTGTTATTTTATTTATGCTGAAGACATTATCGGGTCTGACCAACCACTCGTAGCACTGAAAGCAGCGCACTTAACTGGGCCGCAGGGCCCGACAGGAGTGCCACTCTTTATGTAAGTATGTTTCCCTATATGAACGTGCTCTAGACATTGGCGCAGACGGAAGCTTTTCCATTTCCGCTAATTGAGACACGGTCCCATATCTCACGTGGTCGTGACAATGAAAGCAGCCGTGGCAGCCGGTGATATTCATCGGATTGTATAAACCTCTCGTCGAACATTCTAAGATTAGCGCCGGTGCTTGCGTTAGCTCTATGAATAAAGTGTATCGTTCACGTTGTGCGCGCGTTCTTATGAAAATACACTGAAATAATCGTGAACGTTTCCAGAAATTTCGCGCGCAACGTACTTCGTACGAAGAAGTGCATGGTTGCACATGTGGCAAGCTGGTTACATAAAATAAGAAAAAGAAGCGCGTGCGACAATATTACGAACGTGCCTCCTCGATCAGCTCCTACAGAGCGCCGTCGTCCGAGCTGATCGCCGAGGGCATAGGACAAATGGGTTAGTTCTAAGGAAGCCCTCTAGGTGGAGAAATGTGTGCGAAAGGTGATAAAAAGAAACGTCGTCTATATATCTGCTTTCTTGCACGGTGCTGTAAAATTTCTCCTATGGTGCAAGAGATCTTGACTTGTTCTCTTTATTTCTGGCACCGTGTTCCTTTCGAACGGACGACAAGGTGATTCGTTTCACAAGAGAAGTGATAATTCTACTCGACGAGATATTGCGTATCAGGACGGAAAATTTCTTCGTTAACTTTCGAACCCCAAAACTGTAAACAATTTATGTGCGCCCTGCGCAGCGCGCTTGAAAGCACACATCGGTTAAACCTCCCGCACTCCCAATAACAACAAAGAGAAACGATGTGAAAAAAAAAATGGCTAGACCAGCATTCTCGCCTACGTTTATTACACGTTTTCAAGCCAGAAGTCTCGATATCTGACAACTGAACTGACAGAACGGTGGGCGAACGCTTTAACTAGAAAACAAAGCATTTCCAACAGGAATCAAGCCAGAAAACAAAGGTAGACTTGAATCGACAGCCTCCTGCCAATATAGAATGATTTCGAAACCAGGGTGTTCGCTCGGCCGGCATCGCGGTAAGTGATTGCTTCGGACGGCGTGCGCGCGTATATCAAATACGAGACGGCCGCTTCGCGAGGCGATCGCCGACCTTGGTTGCGTGGTTTTTAGTGCCGATGTCGGTAAGTGATGAGAAGGCTGGCGTTTATACCTTATTTTCTTGCTGACTGCATCCCATTCGTGGTCTCTACACCCCGGGCTCTAAAAAACACCGGGGTCTTGCGCCACTCGTTCGAATCGCCGCGCTTGCGCAGAACGCTTTTGTAAAACGTTGAGCTCTCGCTGGAGCATATAGCCCACTCAGTCGGATCGACTATCGTGGCCGACTTCAAGACACGAAGTGATGATCATAACGCCAATAAAGCTACTAGGCAAAGGGTTGCTTTCTTCACATCTTAGCTTTGCGTGAAGCAAAAAAAAAAAAAAAAGCGTTTGGTGTACACGTAAGAGATTATTATTATACAACGTACAGTACACAAAGTACAGTACACAAAGTACAACAGACACAAGTAAGGGGCAGGGTTGGCAAAAAGGCAAATTAATGCCTGACAGGGTGCCGTAACCCGTCCCAGACTATAAAGCGCAAAAAAAAGCAGTAATGTACACATATTTTAAATGTTTTAACAAAGAAGCAGCCGCATTTACAAATTTCTTATAAGAACTCATAAAAAACGTTGGATGAACATTTTATTAAGTACAGACCTGTCTGCAAGACTGGATTTATAGCAAACAAAGCGAGGAATATGTGAAGAAACCGAAATTTTTTTAATAACAAACCAATTTATTAGAACTCATTAATGAAAATGTCCCGAGTGTATACACTCGTGACATTTTGGAATAAATACTGAGTATTATTTCGATAAGCTTGAATACGAGGACTGCGCGTTAGATCAGTACTTACAAAGGAGGCAAAGTAATGAGCTCTGGCAAACGTCAGTGCCATATTCAGTTCCCCAGCTTTTATTTAGCGCAGTTAGTGGCGCCACAAGATAGTGTATGCCATCCACTGTACGTCGCTTTATTTGTCTACATATCTCGTACAAAGAGCAAAATGTGGATTCTTTGTTTAACCAGCTGATGGGAGATTTACGTCCTCTTTATGTTCTTAACAAAAATACAAAAAACAATATGCAAGAAAGAAAGGAAAAAAGAAGAAAAGAAAGAACGAAAAATAAAGAGCGAAAGCAGCTTCACCAGGGGGCTTGCTTTCGAATCGACAAAAGCTAACAATTACTGCTCGTGGTAAATGACCAAAAGAAAAAAAAAAACCCTTAGGTGTTTTTAGCACGCGCACTTACAACGGAGAGAAGCAGCGTTATAAAGAAAATTTTCATTCAATCAGAAGTGAGACATAAATAGGAAAGCCAAGCACCTGATGCCTCCCCCCCACCCCCCCTCTTGTGTCGTAAACACGTCAAAATATTTCGGGTTGCTCGAAATAGCAACAAAGAAACAAGCATGATAGGTTGACCGGGGTGGTGCAATAGAAAACAATGGCGCGGAACGGTCGACCGGCTGTCATCGAGGCTTGTGTCATCACCGAACCGCTGGAGCTAGTGACAGTGGCGGCCGTCAGGGGGTGCTCGCATAGCCGCCAGGGGGAGCACGCTTCGCTGCGCACCCGTCGGGTCCAACCACACAGTGGCTAATAAACGTGCGAACTGGAAAGACGAAGCTCGCTGGCGAGTGTTACACGGTTCGAAGACCACGACGGCGCTAGTCGGCGGCAGTGTTACGTGCTGGAACACTTGTGTAACTTTGGTGCCAGCGTTGTGCTTATCAGTTTACTTTATTTTATGCTTTACTGGAGAGCGCAGGAGGGTTTTGATAACAGCTGAGCTGTAACGTTCGCGATACGTCGAATCTGAAAAATGCGTTTCTGTGGGAAAGGTTCCTTTACAAGTATACTTCAAGAGAACTTGTTCTCGGTATATTTGGTGTCTAAGCTTGCTTAAGATGTTTCATAATCTCTACTTGACGTCTAGGAAGGAAAATGAATTGAAGAGAACTGAATTTCTCGCATGGGCACGCTTGAGTTACCACTGTTTTGTGTTATACATATATACAGCCGCTTATTGCCATGGGCTTATGACGGCGGCATCTCTTGAACGTACTACCATCAGTTTTGATATCGGAGGGGCAGTTTCACACTGACGTGTTAACACACACTGACGTCACGGGGAAGCAACAACTCACGACGCTTATTTTAGCGCTAGTTTTACAGTAATTTGTCCGACAGGGGCGTGGCGGGATCTGAACGTTCCTTATCAGCCAATCTTGTAGTTCAGTGATTTTGAAGAATCGGTGTTATATGGTCTAATTACCACTCCCAGTTGTGTGCCACGTTGGAGCCTAATTATCGACGTAGAAGGTTTTCATGTGTGGAACTCCGTTCGCTCAAGACGCGGGTGCAAACTTTACAAAGAGACTCGAACGCGTCGTTAACACATACGCTCGCACATCGTAAAGCGTGCCATAAGTGCTTCTATGCGCCACACGCGACTAACGCGTCGTTATGCGAATAGAAGAATAGAGATTTTTTTTTCTACTGGCGGACTATATTGAAGGGAACAATAGGAGCGTTTTGTTTGCACCATTACGAAAGCAACCTCGTAAATTAGAAGCATTTACGAACACACAAGTGCGGGAGGCATTGTGTATAACGAACGGATGCTTTCATGTAAGGCAAGATGTTGCCTTTCGGATTCCGGCCAGCACCTTATTGTTCAACAGAGCACGTTGCACGCATGCGTATCAGATGAACAGGAACAGTGCATCAGCTTATTTGAAATTGGTGTGCCGTCGGGAACACTGTTAAAAATTATCTAACGAAATGTGAGCTGGAGTTCCCGATCTGACGTAGATGTTTCCATTCCATGGTAACTACCGATACAAATCACTGTTGTGATCAACCCGAATTCATGAACTAATTTGGGCACCAAACCTGATTGAACGCAGCTTTTCCTAAAGTAAATGATTAAAAAAAGTGAGAACGGGTATTTTTTTCTCCTATGTTGATCAACACAAGTTTTTCTTGGAGCATGAGCTCTAACGCTGTCGCGATGAAACACTTACGTATCGTAGTTATGACACTAACTGTAAATTGACAACGGTTCGCGCCTCGCCCACGCACGGAACAGCAAATTTAGCACACTCGGGGCCTAGCGCTCTTGATGTGGCTTGAGGCGGTGTTGGTCGCTCTGGATTATTTCATGATTGGTCATGCGACGAATAGCACTGATCATCTCCCCGAAACTTCCTTTCTCGGCCCGTTCGCGCAAGAAACTCATTCGTTCTCCACGTCATCACGGATTTGGTAGCCGATCATTGCATCACGTGACCTGGCCTGAATGGCCCCCTATATATTTCTTGGCTGCTTTTGCGGACATTCAGACGTGCAGGCTTGGATTGCCGGTAGAAGAATGCTATGGAAGCTTGTGGGTGTAGCCACGTTGCAGTTTGAGGTTTCGAAGGACCGAATCATCGCTTTGTCAATTTTACGAAATTCACAACTTAACGAAACAACTCGCTCGTGGTCATAACTTCGTTAAACGAACTTTCAACAGCATGTCTTTACCGCAGGTTTTAACATGGTCATGAGTCCCTTTTCGGTGGCCAATCGGAAATGGTTGTGCGACTTATGCTGCTCACAAGTGTGAATGATACTGTAATAAAGAAACGTATCTGAGAGGCACTGCACTCACCAGTGTGCGGCATCAGTGTCGCCACCTGTAAGCAGAAAAAAAAAACATTGTTCGAACGAGTGGAAACGAAAAAAAAAGGCATTGTTTCCAATTTTGATCAGTTGCTGGCATGATCATCCTGAATTTGCAGAGTGAACGATTGTCTCTGTACATTCTCATAGAATAACCATGCAGTCACAGCAGAGCAATTACAAATCTTATCACAGATTACACAAATGTGGAAAAAATGAATCAGAGTGGCACTAGAAATTCTTGGATTACAGCATGGATTGAAGCGGCGCCACTATTTCGGCCGATACCTCCGAAACACACTGTCATTGCATCTGAAATTTCTTTTCTTTAAAGTATGTATAACGAGTGGAAATCTCTAATACACATGTCATTTGGTCAAGTGTATTACGTCAATTGTATTCAAGTGTATTAAAGCATTGACAAAGATGCTCACACTCGCACCAGCCTGCAAATATTGTTGTTGTGTGGTCTTCATTACTAATCACTTACTATGGTTTTATAAACTATGACGGGATTTCTGCGAATCACTTGCCTATATATGTATGTTGTAAGTAGCTTCAGACGTAGCT